TTACGCAAGCGTCGGAAAGTTCTCAAAGGTAGATCAGATGTGGTACAAGCGGTAGGCTCGCTTTTCTACCAGAATTGATTGTTTCGTCGGGCTGAGCTGATGCTGTCCAGGCAAATCCTGCGAGTTAGTGATGGCGGTACATTGTACGTCGTCCAACAGTATGTATTATTGGGTTTACTCGTCTTGAAAGAGGCCTCGACTTCGCACCTATCGATACAAGCCACCTTGACAACAACAGTCCGATAATAGTCGCAGTTCCTGGGCTTACGGGCGGTAGGTGAACCAATGTTAAAAATGCGGTGCGGTTCTAACATTACTAACTTTTTCTAGGGTCTCACGAGGCATATATTCGCGCAATTCTCGCTCCTGCATCCACCACGGCCAAGAACGGCGGGCTGGGATACCGTGTTGTGGTTGTGAACCTGCGTGGATGTAAGGATTTTTATTCTGTGGTCTTCCTGCGTTCATTTCTTCGATTGTCAGGTGCGGGAGTGCCAGTTACTAGTCCCAGGCTGTACACGCCAGGCCATACAGACGATCTTCGACTGGCGTTAATATATATTTCCCAAATGTATCCGGAAGCCCCACTTCTTGGCGTCGGGTTTTCGATGGGAGCCGGGATTCTCATCCGATACCTTGCGGAAGAGGGTACTGCCAGTCGTCTCGTCGCTGGGTGCGCCCTCGCTTGTGTAAGTACAGACACTCTATTCAGGGGTTCTGATCATTTATGTCCTTTGTGAAGCCATGGGACAATGTGTTGAACAGCCACATGTAAGGGAAGAGTTGCGATCCGGAATTTATACTGACGAACTTTGGGATAATTAGGCTTGACAGCACATTCCTCACTAGAAATCTTTGGGCCCGGGGAATGGGTACTAATTTAGGCAAGGTGTTGATACGGAACGAGGCTGCACTGCGTTCATTTCAGGATCACCCGCTCGGGGCCGCGCTACCCGCAGCACTGGCCTTGCGATGTCCAACCTTGTCATTTTTCGACAGCACATTCTCAAGCCGCGTGGGTGGCCCGGAGCCTATGTTTCCCTTCCCAGACCTCGATGCCTACTACGACTGGGCGTCAAGCCATATCGTTCTCAAGGATGTCACAGTCCCTCTTCTCGCCATAAACTCGACCGACGATCCTCTCGTACGGGCGGTTCCTGTGGATGCCGGCGGTAATGGGAACGTCGTCCTGACACGCACCAGGTGTGGCGGCCATCTGGGATGGTTCAAAGCGGGCGGCGGCCGTTGGATTACGCAGCCCGTGTTGGAATGGATCCGACTCGCTGCAGAAGAGCTGGTTCATGATTTCGGCAATCAACCGCAGGTGCATGTTGATAAGGATGGCTTCTTGCGCGATATCGGGCGGAATAGCATGGGTGTTAAACATATGAAGGAGGGCGGCGTCATAAACGGTAATCGGGGTCAAAGGGGCATAATGCACGGACTGTGAACCACGGACCTGAGGACTATTTCCTAATTTTGAAATGTACATACATAGATCTGGGCCTGGGCTCGACGGTACACTGTATCCGTACACAGCATAGATAACTAGCCAAAGTCAAAGACTTCAAGACTTGAAACAGCGCTTTCATGGAAGCGCGTCGATCCGGCAAGCGTTCAGCCAGGCCCTGATGTACCAAATCGCAGCGGTCAATAGTGGCATTCCGCAAATTGTATTTGTATTTTGAACACACAAATCCAAAGATACAAAGATGATCATCGCGGTGCCAGAGGGATCACACCTCTTGTGTTCCCCAAAAACATTTCTACAAGTGGGGATTACCTTACCAATTTGCTCAATGGAGCCCAAAAGCATCAAACAGCCACCAGCGCTGTATCCCGTGGTTGCTTAACGAGGGTCCATGACATTCTCCACCAGTTGAGACGGTACTGCTGGATTTCCACATCGTCCTTCTCCCGTGCTTTCAGTTCCCGACGGCGGGCCTCGTTAAGCGCCGCGGCATACTCCTCGCGATGTTCAGCCAGGATCTGCTGTTCCTGTGTAAGTGAATAAGTAGATTGGTGGTTCAAATATGTGGCAGGTAACGAATGAGCTAACATGCTCCCAGGGGCGCGGCAGGGTGCGTTGACGATCTTTGAGGGCCATCGGCCCCCTCAGTGAACCGAAGTCGTTGTGGAGCATCTCGAGCTTCAGACGTGGCGGAATGTAGTCACCCCGAACACGTTCGGGCGCGCTTCCTTTGTCTGCGGGAAGGGATGAGAGACCAGCTAAGACCGTGAACGGGAGAGCAGTACCGAAGATATTCATGATTTGGTTCACCGTCTTACGGATGCGGTGTTTGGTTAGCAGAGTGATGATCCACCGTATGCCATTGCGCAGGCCGATTACTGTTATGAACACGAATATACACAAGGCGAACCCGAAGGCATATCCGAGGGCCATCCCGAGAGGGAGGTGTCCCCCCTCAAGTTCGGGATCACGGCGAAGCAATACGGAGAGTATGATGGCAAATGCTATGCCAGTGATGGCGGTCGCCAATGCCCAAATGCCGAACCGCACGATGCGGCGGTACATGAGCACACCACTGCGCCACTCCTCATAGTGGAGATATCGGAATACCAGACCAATGGACGAAGGGTCGAGGCGTTGCCAATGTTCGTCAGGAATGTCGTTGAAGTAGCCGGTGGCAGCGGCTACAGTACGCGGAAAGACGAATTTGCGTGGGTTTGGAAAATGAGGCGGGAGAACCAATAGCAGTTGGCTTTTGCCAGACTATATTGGGGTGCCTCGGACGCAATGACTTCAAGATAGCGGGGCAAGTCTCGAAGACGGGGAGGAGGACCGCGCCATTTGTGGTCCAGGAAGTCGGTGAATGCGGCAAAACGGAAGGTATCTGCCCTCAATATTAGATGCGTAGGAAGGCTCGGTGGAGATACTTGAGCATTCCTGGTGGACAAATGTTGGTCTCAGATACCAACGCGCACAAGAGTGTGTGCGTGGAATGAAACTCCTGGTCGAATCCCTCACCAGCGGGGTGGATGGTAGCCTGGTCCAGCGCCCGCCTGCTGGCATCGGCCGGAGACTTTGTGCGTTCCAACGTGAGGTCATACTGGCGCGCGGAACACCAGAAGCGTAGGACAACACTCTGGTGTTGGAGGAAGGTGTTGCTGACGGCCCACCACGAAACATCCGTAATCTGAGAGTCCTGAATCGCGTCGTCTGCTTCGCGGATCCACTCGCAGAGGTTGCGCAGGGGCATTAACCCAGTCGGAACTGAATTACAATCGCCGTGTGTAGCTGGCACAACAGGCGAGGTCGAACCCATGGACAGATTCTAGAGGGGACGGACACAAAGCTGTAAGATCAGCGCCCACTGTCACTGTCGGATCAGCGCCCGCTTTCCAGACTCTATACCAGTACTCAGCTTGCTCGTCACTGGTACTAGAGTCTGGGTAGCCGAGACTAGGTTCGATCAAGCTTCTGCCACGCCGTTGCAGGTATTTTTGGCTGCTAAAAGTAAGAGCTAAATCTTGTGCCGCTCTTTCAGTCTACTTAAGTGTTCACACAGGGGAACTATCAAGAGACCCTTGTATTGATCTTTGGGTGAGAAGGCAACGGGCGCAAGTAAACCCGGGATCCTGGGGTGGCAGAGCCGACTCAGCCGAGGATGTCCGGCCGGCTACAAGTGTCTACTACCTCTAACTATGAGTGTAGTACTGTGAGATGTCCGAGTCAGAGTCAGTGAGATAATGGAAAGGATTTCTGAAGGTTAACGCGCAGGAAAACCGCCGGCGTTGGCAAGACGACTCGTGACTTGAGCCTCTCTAGACTCTAATACACAGCGGACCATTCTGAATTCATAATCACGCAATTTAACTGAGGGCTTGCTCCGCGAGCATGAGTACTTGGCTTAAACTGCCACGTTCGCTGGCGCCCTCACCACCTGCATGCCCACCCCCAACATGATACGCTCGTTCTTGCGTTCTTGCGCACGAGCTCCCACTGCTCCTTCATGCTCGCTAACGTCGACCACATGCGCCCCGTGCGCGCTACGGCGGCCGCGGCCTCGATCTTTCTCACACCATTGGCCCCCTGCCTGGTTGCGCGGATGCCCGCGTCCGGGTGGCCCGGGTACTTGCGATTGAACCCAGTGTCGAGAAGTACAGGCTCGGCGGGTGCTCCGAGATCGGGAAACTGAAGCTCCCGTTATCGGAGTCACTACCGGCGTCTCCATAAGTTCGGAGCTGTCGATGCTGTGGTTTTCGCAATAGTGTTCCAGTTCCAGAAGCAAGAAAAAGACTGCAATGTTCTCGTTCCGGTACAACTTGGCCCCCGAATTGAACAGGGAGGCTCCTGCAGAACATCGCTAACTCGCCATCCTGCGCAGGTGCGCACCGTGCGCTACCAAGTCTTGTATTATTAGCGCAGGGACTAGGCGAAGCGTAGGAGATTCAAAGCAGACCAAATCCTTGCCAAACCGAAGACTTGTCCGTGCCGCCGTGACTTGTCGTTTGAAATGATAGTCTCAAATACACGAGTCAACCCGCAGGTCCAGACACCAGCCCGTACCCAACCCGTACCCGTACCCGGCCGCTCCGTACCCGCTTGCAGGTCGGGTCCAAACCCGACCCGTCTACCCACAGGTTTTGAGTTTTAACCCGTAACCGTGGATTCGCGTAAAAACAGTACCTCTAATTCGGCTGACTTTGTATGATCCATTGACATATAGTAGACTAAGACAATAGGTTACAAGTTTCAATGACAATCCTTTGCCAGCTAATTGAGAATCTCGACACTGTCTTCACCACTTCAGCTCTCTTCCTCTCCTTCGGAGTACATGCGTCGACTGAGTCCTAGAGTACATAGATGCGCAGCAGTCCACTTGGCTCCCAAGGAGCCATTTTTTCTGGTCCGCGCAGGACCTAGGTTCCCGGCCTCAAATCTCAAAATTCGTCCATTGCACCCCGCAGGTTCCTAAAAGGAACGCAGTGCCGGGCGTAGAAAATAAAATCTGTGATATGGCGGAGTTTTTTCCGAATGACTTGGCCCTGAGTCGAACAGGGAGGCTCCTGCGAAACACATTTTACCCCGGAAATGGCATATCCTGCGCAGGCGCGCACCGTGCGCTACCAAGTCTGGATCGGTTGCGCAGGAACTCGGCCAAGGGTGGGAGATCAGCTGGCTGTCGCTCTACTGTCATTTCTGGTTCGGCTAGCCTCTATGTTCTGGGTCACGTCAGCACCGAGCTCCACAGTTTGTATGTTGCAAGGGCTATATTTCTCCAGTGACGACAGATTCGGGTGAACATAAGTGGCGCAGTTCCGCATGAAGGGCGTACTCGACCATGGCTAGGGAGACAGTCGACGAAAATGCGAGGGACTATTTCGTTTGGAAGCGTTAAATCGGGGTAGACGACGAGCGCCAGCCTCCGTGTTAGTTCCTGCTGCCTTCTATGCAGGTCGCTAGAGGTCGCTGAGGGGCGCCTGCTGCCGCAGGATTGCTGTTTCGACTTCGTGGAGCCCGAATCCGCAGCCAAAAGGCTGGGTTGAGACTCGGAGGCTCCCTACGTATGGCCGCCGCACGCTTGGCAGACCACGTCAATCGATGCGAGTTATTTGGATTTCTTTCAAGTTGCATTGTGATGGGCTTCCCAATTCACGCGTCAATCTCCTTGAGTCGATGCGCTTTCAGAAAAGCCTAAATGTGATAAATGTGAATGCGTACGTATATTGGTGTCATCGTCGCGCTCCCTTGCCGCTCGACGCTGATGCTGGCCGCACCATAACACTACTTACTATAGTTGGCTTCGACTGGTTGAGTATAGGTTCCATACGTGTCCCACCACCAGCAGCGTATTGAGTCTGGATAAGCCGCTCTAAGTACTCAAGTACATCGGTACTTTGCAATTTGATTTGGCACGCGTGCCAGTGTTCAGGATTATGTGGGAGGAGAGTTGGGGCCCGATTCGGAATAGAGGTCGCAGCTGGGGATGGTGACGGTAGACGCGGCAGGAGGGACAAAGGTGCTGAGGGATTGAAAGCTACCAAAAGCTTAGGGTCCTGTACCGTCACGAGCAAATAAGCACTCGTCGGTAATGACCGTAGCTTGGCTTCCCACCCATGTGGCCGGCTGAACGTTGACTTTACAAGGGGGCAGCACCATGGGACACCTGTGAATGAAATTATGGGACGTATCTCGGTGTGCGGAGCCGGCGGAGCGCACGGCCGGCGCTGGTTTGACTTACACAATGCATATGCTGGCGCATCGCACCGAGAGACGCGTAGAACATTTCTCGCGACCAACCATATACACGCAGAGAACAGGGCTGTACATTTTTCTATGCACCCTCCTGCTACCGGCGTGACGGCGGCGTGATCGGCGTCTCGCGGATGAACGTGGCGGCGACTAGCGCGCAGCCCGCCATCGCGGTGGAGAACCACATCGTCGCGCGCACCGCGACCGCGTACGCGGCGCGCACGAGCGCGGCCGTCGGCGCATCGAGCTCGTCAATTGCCGCAAGCGACGCGCGCACGCGGCGGATGATCTAGGGGCGAGTCAGTCAGTCAGTCAGCCGGCGTCTCCCAGGCCCGGCGCGGTGGCGAGGAGCGCATATATAAGGCAAGACAAGGCGCACGTACGTCGTCGATGTCGCGGTCGTCGGAGAGGGACGCGCGGAGCCCCCGGCGCAGCGTGAGCTGGAGCAGCGTGCTGGCGATCGACAGCCCGACGACGGAGCCGAGCGAGCGAAAGAGGTATGACACTGGCCTGTACGTTAGCTCTGATGCGGGGGGGGGCACGACATGCGCGCGCGCACCGGCGGTGGCGATCGCCTGGTCTGCGGGCCCGGCGTTCGCGATGAGCGCGACGAGGCTGGTGGTGATGCCCGTGCCTGCATGTGTCAGCCAGTCGGGACACACAGAAAGAACGGCAGCGCATACCGTTGCCTACTGATACGAAGAACGACGCTGGAACGGACTCAGTCACGGAACGAACGCGCGCGCCGTGATGTGCGCACCGATCGCGACACCTACGGCGGAGGTGCGGAGGACGCCCGCCTGCAGCGTCGTGCCGAGCGCGCCGAGCGCCATCATGGCGTACGCGGCGACCGTCACCCAGTAGTACCGCCCCGTCGCCTGGATCGCGAGCCCGCCGCTCAGGCTTCCGAGCACGCCCGCGGCCACTGTCGGCGCGAGCCACAGCCCGACCGCGGCGGGCTCCTTGCGCAGCACGGCTTGGTAGAATAGCGAGAGGTGGAAGATCAGGCTGAGGCCGCTCATCATGGCGAAGAAGTTGACGAGGTACGCGCCGAGGAGGGCGCGGTGCGCGATGATGCGGCGCGGCGCGAAGGGCTCGGTCGCCCATGCGAGCTCGACGGCGACGAAGAGGGCGAAGAAGATGGAGAAGAGGCAGAGGGCGGCGATGGTGTACGTGTCCTCCCATGCGACGTTCCCACCGCGGTCGAGCCCAAAGAGGAGGAAGAAGACACAAAGCACGAGGGAGAGCGCACCGGAAAAGTCGACTCGCCTTAGCTTCGTCTTGAAGTCGGACGCACCGGACTGGGGTAGATGTAAGGCGTAGGAGACACTAATGAAGGCGAGGACGATAGCAGGGGCCTGGACGAGGAATCCCCTTAAACAGATGTTCAATTGTTGAATGCACGCGTAATAAAAACAGACCATCGCCAGCCGATAGTGTCGACCATAAACCCGCCCAGTGGTGCCCCGGTGGCCGATCCAAACGCATAGACGATATTGATTATCCCTTGCCAGGTGCCCCGAGAGCGGAGCGGGACAATGTCAGACATGATGATGCTGACAACGCTGAGGGGCTTTCAGATGCACCGAATAGTGGGACAAATGGGCTCCGACTCACGTACTCATCCCGCCCCCTCCAATTCCAGTCAGACCGCGCGCGAGAATTAGCTGCGGCATCGTTTGGGCAAGACCGCATGCGAGGCATCCCAGCGCGAACAAGATGTACGCGAAAAGCAGGCAGGGTTTTCTCCCAAAGATATCGCTGAGCGTGGGTCGGCGCCCCGGGAAATCTGAGCGGCCACGCTACTTGCCTCATCTTTCCGTACAGCGGCCTGAGATGGCTCAGCGTGAAGCCGTACGGACGGGCAAACACTTACTGGAAGGTCGTCAGTGTAAGCATGTACGCCGTCGCTATCCAGCTGGTGTTCTGCAGCTGCTTGAGCTCGCTCCCAATGGCCGCATACGCTGGAGGAAGATGAGCGATGTCTCCCGCAATACCGGGCGGACTTGCACGATACAACAATGGTTTGGTCCATTGCACAGAGGAACACCCCGATCGCCATGGGCATGATCTACAGGGCACTTAGCGCGTGCGATGCACATCTACAGCAGACACGACGCACGATCGTCAGCAACGACAGTGGCGGCTTGTCGACGGCATCGGGCGTGGCTTCGGGGTCGCACGCTGGGGCATTGCCATAGCCTGCGACATTGCTGGCGTCGTTCCTTTGCTCCGCAAGGAGAGCGGAGGTTTCGTCCGGCATGAGTGGGTACGCGAGAAGCTTTGTGTTTGTTTGTCCCGTGAAACACGTTGATCTTCGGGCCGACATGGCAGCTTCCGGCGCGCTCCGAAATTATGGTATGCTGAATTTTCTTATTCTCTCGTCCAGGTTCAAACGTACTGGCAAACGCAACGGTGTATTCTTGGCAACCAAGTTTGGAAGTACCCCACTGGGCGTACGCGGAGATCCAGAATTTGTGCGAGAACAAGCCATGACATCGCTGAAGAGGTTGGGAGTCGAATACATTGATCTCTTCTACCAACACAGGTCAATACACTCATACCGTGTTATTTCTTTCTGACTTGAAAATAGAGTTGATCCTAAGGTCCCAATTGAGGTGCCGTATCAATAAATAAATGCTTTGCTCTACCAACCTTTAATATTGTTAACAGGTGACCGTCGGTGCAATGGCCGAACTGGTCAAGTGCGCTCATCATCGTTTCGTCTCTGTTCTCTACTAACCGTTTAGTTTTTCAGAGAAGGGAAGGTTAAATACCTGGGCCTCTCTGAGTGCTCTGCCAAGGCTCTGCGCCGTGCGCACGCGGTCCACCCCATCTCCGCTCTCCAGATCGAGTACTCGCCGTTCTTCTTAGACATCGAAGACCCCAAGGTCGCCTTGTTGAAAACTGCGAGAGAGCTCGGCGTAACAATCGTCGCCTACTCTCCTCTCGGTCGTGGTCTCTTGACCGGACGATATGTACATATTGTCACTTATCCCGTCGCCGGCGTTACCGAGCTGACGACTCCTGCAGAAATCGCCGGACGATTTCGAGCCGGGCGATTTCAGGCTCACGATCCCCAAGTATGTTCCGTGTCGTGCAAGCTTGTCTTCCTTCACTGCTCACGAAACGGCCAAACAGGTACTCTGCACAAAACTTCCCAAAGATCCTCGACGTCGTCTCCCGCCTCCAAAAAATCGGCGAAAAACATAACGCCACGGCAGGGCAGATAACCTTTGCGTGGATATTAGCGCAGGGCCCCGAGTTCATCGTGATTCCCGGCACTAAGCAGATCAAAGTAGGCACTTGTATGCTGCCTGACTTTCGCTCAGTTGGTGAACTTACCGCGGCGCAGTACTTGGAAGAGAATATCGAGGCATCGAAAATCAAACTCAGTCCCGAAGAAATTGCCTCAGTGCGCCGGATTGCGGAGGAGAGCGAGCTCCCTGGTGGCAGGTACTCGGCGGACAGGATGGCGGGGGTGCTGCTCGATAGCCCTGAGCTGCCGAAATAAAGCAGGTGGGACATCATATGGCCAATGCGAATGGTATATGTTCAACTTGAGTTTTGACCGCATTGATGCATCTGCCAAAAAAGAAGAAGGAGTGTAGGGTCGGCGAGCGGCGGGGTCCGCTAGCATATCTAGATCATAGATACATTTGGACTAGGACTCCATAGATTTTGACATTACTGTACATCTCTGCACTCCGCCGGCATTACTCAAACGTTGTAGATCTAGAATTGCAGCACTGTGTTGCAGTACGCTGTCTGATGAGCAGGAAGGATAAGGGTACAAGTGTCCTGTCGTACTGGTTCAATTTATTCTATCTACCTTTTCCTTGGGGGCACTTCTCACCTTTATCTTGGTTGTGGAGAGTAAA